CTGAGAAACTTAACAGAAGACCATGGGGGAGGGGAAGAAAAAAAAAAAAGAGAGGGAGGGAGCCAAATCCTAAGAGACTCTTAAAAACTGAGAATAAACTAAGGGTTGATGAAGGGTGGGTGATGGGCATTGAGGAGGGCACCTGTTGGGATGAGCACTGGGTGTTGCATGGACAAATGGAAATTTGACAATAAATTTCATATTTTAAAAAAAAGCTCTATACAGAATATTGTCCTCTATACAGAAGTCACTCACTGCTGTATAAGAAGTGGCAATAAGACACTTCATCATTTAATATTACATGTTTATATTCAACTTTTAGTTCTCAAAAGTACTTTAACATCCCCTTTAGATTTTCATAGTGCTTTTTCTCTGAAAAAATCCAAATATATGGCTTTTGAATATGAATTTTAAATCAGAAAGAAAAAACAGGGAGAGGAGAGAGAAATTAAGCGAACTTCAAATACAAATATTAAAAATGTAACGTGATATGGTGGAGTAAGCACTGTAAGTCAAGAGACCTGCTTCAGGTCCCAGTTTTGCCAGGAACCAGCTATACGCCTCTGAGTCACTTAATTATGCTTTTTAAGTTGCTAAAGAAAAGAAAAAAGTGATTTTTGATTTAATGTTTACCTTAAATTCGGCTTTTTAAAAATCTACAATTAAAGTATTTTCAAATATTGTATTGTAATAACGGCTCGATGAAAGGCACGTCATTTTGCCATATGGAGTCCGCTTTCACTTCTGTCTCTATTTGACTTGCAGCCCGTATTACTTAGGTTGCACATTCAAGATGTACTTTGGAGAAAGACGGACTGGGGAAAGATTCCTTTATACGATGGGATGGAGCCAAGCAGGTGAGGGAGAGTTTAGGAATAAGTGCAAATGTATGCAGAAAACCTGGTCATTCTCAAACTAGGAGCACTGAAAAAGACTTCTGCTTAAATTTCGGGGTGGGGGTGTGTGTGACAAAATCTGAGGGAGGCCTTGAGCTGAGGTTTTCAGATAATCACTGCCTCCACCCTTCAAACATTTATTCTCCTGGAAGACTCCAAATCTGCCTCCAGTTCCGGGTTCCCAACCAATCGCATCAAGCCACAACAGAGGGCTCTGCCTACCCGGGCACCGTTTCAGGGCTCTTAGTGTGAGATTCACACGACCCCAGCACCTGTCGGCCTTCCCAAGAGGGGACGGGAGGGAACAGTAGGTCTTCCCCCCCCCCCCCCAACCCCGTTCCTCTTCGATTCCACCTACCACCAGGTCCAAAAGCCCTCGAGACTGAAACAACCTCCGTTAGCCTGGGGGAAGGGAGAGCTCCTCGCCCGTGACCCTCCCACGTATCCTTCCCCCACCGCTAACTCTCCAATTTATAGAACCCAACCTCCGACTGTGGTTTCTCAGGCCTCGGGTACCCCGGGCCTGGGAAGCGTAAAGACGCATGCGGAGAGTGAAGACAGCGGGGGAAGGTGCACTCTTCGCCACCAGAGGAAAAGATAGGAAGGCAAGGGTGGGGGCAGCGGTGTTCCCCCTTAGCTAGGGCGGGAAGCCGCCCGAGCGTCTGTCGAAGGGTCTGTCATTCCTTCACTCACCAGGAGCAGCAGGGAGCATCTAAGGTCGGGTAATGATAGGAAGACGGCAGGATTCATGGTAACGTCGGGGTCCGCGGCTGGGACTGGGCAGGGTTGGGTTGGGTTAGGAAAGGGCTGGGCTCCGGGAGCCGGCGGCAGCGGACGATCGTCCCGGCAGCGGCTCCTCGTCCTCTGGACCCGGAGCTCCAGCGGCGAACACCCAGGACAACTTCCAGAGAGGCCTCGCACACCCTCACTTCCGGGTCCTGCCCACCTCGGAGCATATTGGGAAATGTAGTCCTGCACCACTCTCATCGAGCACGTCACTGGGCATCCAGAACTTCTTTCCCATCAGACTCTCCGCCTAGGTACACAGAGTTCTCCGCGCGCGGGGCCCTGTGGGATACAAAGAGCCGAGGGCGGCGAACCTCTGTTTTTAGAGGATGGGAACTACAATTCCCAGAGGGCAGTGCGAGGGAACGCCTCGGGCGGCCTTCGGAGGGGTTCTGCTAGTTTCAGCGCGGTGGGGTCTGTCCCAGTCGGCTGTAGTGTACTGTCCTGGCGGGAGGGGCGGCCCACTGCGGGTCGTGCCTCCTGGAGCCGCCCCCGGGACGTGAGTCCTGGAGGAGGCGAGGGTGAGTAGGAAGGGGCCTGGCTGGGGAAGCCCCGATCGATCTGCATCGCCTTGGCCCCTACCTCAAGCTCAAGGCCCTCCTGGCCTCGGCTCTGGCCTGATCTTTCATCACTAGCCTCCTCGCCTGCTGCCTTTTCTTTCTGCGCTAATTACTGCATTATAAAGTCGGAGCCGCCTATCAGGGCCTCCGTTGAATGAGTGGATGCCGCATCTCTAATTGTCTGTGGGCTCGTAGAAGGAGTAGATCCGGGACAAAATGGGAAAGCACGTTGTAAACTGAAAAGCGTAACTGTGATCGCTACTAATGCATGGATCCCTACCTACAGGACAGTTACGAATTTCGTCAGCCGAGCCGTTCAGGATCTTAACCTGGCCCGAGTTAGCTCCCCAGCCTCACCTGTAAATACCAAGCCAGGTCCCCGTGTCCCACCTGATAGCTACACAATCAGTACTAAGTACCGGGGAGGCATTCTGCTTTTTTGTGGTTCTCCCTACTCCTTGCCTGTACTCCAGCTTTCCTCTGCCTTGGAATGGCCTCAGCCCCTTCTCTATCTGGAATGCCATCTCAAATGTCACCATCTCTGAGAACTTGCCAAAACACCAACCCTTGAGCCCTGATCAAAATGAGTCTTTGCTTGTGACTGCAGCACCACTAGTCTTGTACAGTTATATTATTAGAAGCATTTATTACACTGGCTGGTTTTATAATTAGTTAATGATACCTGTACATTATAACTGACAAAGTAGTTTTGATGTTCATTTATAAAAATTATTTACAGAAGACATGAGTACTAAACGTGTGTGTGTGTGTGTGTGTGTGTGTGTGTGTGTGTGTGTAACTAAAAAAGGACCCTAGAGAATGCTTTTCCCAGGGTGGCATTATTAGATGGTGGCAGAGCCAAGACTTTTAGTTAGGTCTCCTCTCTCCTAGTCCTGTGTTCTTATCCTTATACCACTCCCTACCTGTCTGACAAAAGAGAAATGAGGAATTAAAAAAAGATCAGACGCTCATGAGTATAACCTCTTTAGTCCAAGAAATTAAACTTTGATCCTGCTCACCCTCTGGACTTAGCACCCAGCCTATGACTTTTCATTCGACAAACACTGACTGAACACCAGCTATGTACCTGTTTCTATGATAAATGCTAACAATTACGAGGTGAAATATATAAAAAATATATTTAACTGAGATCTAAACAGTGTATTTTTCAAAAGGCATATGAAGAGGCTTGTCTGTGTGTGTGATTCTGATATGCCTAAAAGTGATCACTTAGAATCTAAAATGGTACGTATTAGAGTTCAGAGCAGTGCCTAGTACATAGCACTCAACTTATTGAATGGATCAACAGTCTACCTTTTTCATTGTTCGTATTTTACAGGAAATCAGAGAGCTGAGGTAGCCTAAGGAGATGCTATTTATTATTAACAGAATCAGGCCTAGAGCCCAAGTGCAATTCCTCTTTTACTGTGTTCCTGCCTCCATCCATTTTGTAGCTTCTTTCAAGTCATTTTAATATAATCCTGTCTATGACAGTGGTCTTTCTGACATGACAGACATGACAGAAGTGTCTCACAAAGCCCATATTTTCTGCCAGCATGTTAACTCAAATTGTCAGCAAAATAAAGACATGAAGAGCTGACCTTTACCAAAATTAAGAAAACACTTTCACTTTGAGGCAGAATTTGAACCAATAATCCTCGTCAATGACAATGCAAGTACTAGCTCATCAGTAGTGATAAATTTCTCCTACAAAACTCCCGGATCCTTAGGAGTCACAGAGATTGGAGTGACACTTTGGTGAAATCAGAAGAGGGTTTGTCTGCCCCTTTGGCAGCTATTAAATGGATGATTAGCAGCTGCTTTCTTTAGATAGGCGTGTATGCTCCAGTTTCCCGTGCTCACCATGACTCCCGCTGGATCTTACACTATTTACTTTCCTGGTCCTTGCAGGCATTCAACTGGGGAACTTTGATATAGCATCTTACATTTAGGAAGGAAGTTTAAAATCATAGATGCAACTACCCCTTTGTCCTTGAATTCTTCATGCTGCATTTCTGACATAATCTAGCCTCTGTTTCAACAGTCTTATGCTAGAGAACTCACTATTTTTCTATGCAGCTACTGAGTTTCTAGAAGGTTCTAGCAAAACATATCGGGTTATCAGCCAGAACAAAATTTTTCTAAATGAAATATGGTTGATCCTAATGATGTGGTTTTTCCAAGTAAAATCCTGAGGTGGAGATCTCAAGCTAGGTATATTTCCTTGATGGGCAGAAGGTGAGGACAAATAAAAATTGTCCCTTTTGGCAGCATGAGAGAAAGAACTAAGTGCCTTCTAATTTAGCACTTAGATCTAGTTGATTCTGACCTGACAATAAATTCACATCATACCCATTTTGTGGCTTGATCATCACCTTTAATCCCAATATCAAATCTGATGTTTATTATTATGTGGAATCACAACAAAAGTCACTGTGGCTTTTGAGCCCTGTGCCTAAGGTTAAATACTGAGCCCCCCTTTTTTTTTCCTCGGGTAGCCCCTGAGAAGGGTCTTGGAAGCATCCATCCTTCTCATTTTCCAGATGACCAACTCGTACAAAGGGTCATTTATTTGGCCAACATTGTGGCAATTCTAGGACCAGGACTGCAGGCTTTTTGAATCTTAGTCAACTATTTCGATTCAGCCATATTTATAACATACACACTCAGGACGGATGAGACAGCTTTCAGAAATGTTTCCTGCATATACTCATGGTTTAAATCATTGTTTCAGGGTGCTCCAGTTGTGGAGAAGACTATGAACAGGTCAGAGAACTTGTTCTTTACTGGCTCCTCATTAGCATCCCAAGTTCATGCTGCTGCCATTAATGGAGATAAGGGTGCTCTTCACAGGCTCATCATAGGTAAGTGGTCCCCATAAATACAGAACCTTTAAAAATAACTCTGTCCTAGGGGAGTGTGTTAATCTTAGTCTTAGTTGCAGTGTACTTATACATTTAATGGCAATGTATCATTATTTATATTTCATACCAGAACTTGAACAAGAAAGTAATTAAGTCCTAAAACTTAAAAAAAAAAAAAAAAGTTTAGGATTAGGTAAAAAGTACTTGAGAAATATCTGTATGTTTGACACTAAATCTGGATATGTACTCAAAGGTGCCAAGAGAATTAATTCATCTTTATAATAACAGAGATCTAGAATGAGATGTGGATAATGATCTTCAAAATTTAGTATATACCCAAAGTACTAAAGCTTGCAAATAACTTAAATTGTAATGACTTAAAATTGATTAAGTGTTCTCCCTATCATTGAGTCAATTGATTGAAATAGATTCAATGTTCTCTCTATCATATACATAGAGGTCCATATAAAAATGCTAGAGGGAGAGAGCAAGGTGAGTAGGAGAGAGAGAGAGTATTCAGGGACAAAAATGGGTAAGGATTTTTCAGATATCGTAAAAACCTCATTTCCACCTAATCAGAAGTCATTTATTTATTTAAAGAAAATAAATAAAAATGTATATTAAAATTTTTTTTTAATATTAAAAAAATTTTTTAATTAAAATTTTAATTTATTTTTGAAAGACAGAGAGAGACTGAGCGGGAGAGGGGCAGAGAGAGAGGGAGACACAGAATCCAAAGCAGGCTCCAGGCTCTGAGCTGTCAGCACAGAGCCTGATGCGGGGCTCGAACCCACAAACTGTGAGATCATTACCTGAGCCAAAGTCGGATGCTTAACCGACTGAGCAACCCAGGTGCCCCCAAATGTATATTTTTTAAATCTTTTCACACACCAGTGTCTAGTGACGTGATTGACGACTTGGACTGTAAAATAAAGTTCACACTACTTCAATTTCCATACTGGTTCCTTCAGAATTTATTTTCGCCCTACCTTTCCAGTTTCTCGAAAAACTTCTATCCATGCACCCTAACCCCTGACTAGGGGTTCCATTCCCTAAATGCCATGAATTTTATCTGTCTCCTCTTTTCTACCTCCTCATTCTCTTTTCTACTACACTCCTGCTTATCTTTAAAGACAAAATTCTTTTACTACATACCCTGTGCAGGCTTCTCTTTTCTATCAAAGACGTTCCCTCCTAATACCTCAGCTTCATGTCAGCTACCGCATCCACAGTTATTTCCTGGAATGAGACATCTTCCACTGCCTCTGAGCCACTCATTCAAATATTCCACCATTCAATTAAAACACTTACTTCCAGTTCACCCACTAATGAGAACAATAGTTTTTCAAGTCATTAAGACTTGCAGTCCATTATCTTCTGCAGCTTCAACCATCTATCTCCTTTTGTCTTTCCCCCTCCTGCCATTGAGCCCTGATCCCATAGTCTACTGTTCAAATTCGTACCTAAGAAAAATTGTCTTTTCTCCTCACCTTCTGTTGCACCTGGCTGTTGCAACCCCAGCTATAAATGGACCTAATGCCAACCCCCGAACAATTCAACCGGTCACAAAGATTGGTAGCACCCTAATGTGGTTACCTACCTAGATAGGCACCCAACACTTTCTACTCATTATACCACATTTCTCCATAAAGAGTGTTTCATACCTTCTCAGTCTCCTGAAATCTCTGGCCACCAATCCTCCCTCCCTCCGCTCTCATCCAATGCTTTATGTTCCCTACAGAAAATGAGCTTTAAGAAGGAACTCCCTCACCTTCCAGCATATCTAGAAATCGACCTACATCTGCATCCATCTTCTTTTCTCTTCTCTTCTCTTCTCTTCTCTTCTCTTCTCTTCTCTTCTCTTCTCTTCTCTTCTCTTCTCTCAAACAGACCAGATATCCCCTTCTGTCAAAGGTCAGTTCATCCACATATGTTCTGTATTCCATCCCTTCCTATCTTCTCAGGGACCTTGCTCCATTTTGTGTATAAACTTCTGATTACTACCCCTTCAATCTTTTCTTCTATATTCTTCCCATCAACATGTAAACATGCTCTAATGTCTCCATTACTTAAAAATCCCTTCCCAGGGAGCCTGATTGGCTCAGTCGGTTAAGCATCCAACTTTGGCTCAGGTCATGATCTCACAGTTGGTGAGTTCGAGCCCTGCATCAGGCTCTGTGCTGATAGATGCTGAAGCCTGCTTCAGATTCTGTGTCTCCCTCTCTCTCTGCCCCCCCCCACTTGCTCACACTCCCTCTCTCTCTCTCTCTCTCTCTCTTAAAAATAAGTGGTAAACATTAAAAAAAATTTTTTTAATCCTTTCCCTATTCCTTCACCCCCCTCGAGGAGCTGCCATAGCTCTCCATATCTCTCGACTTCCCTCATAGCTGTATCAGTCATAGCCTGAACTGCTCTGGCAGTTACTTAAGAAAGATAGAAGTATATTTTATTCTCATCATAGTACAAAGATAAGTGGGCAGTCTATGGTGGATAGACACTTCCACTTCACAAAACCATCCAGGGAGGCTGCTAGGATGTGTCTGTCTCGTCAACATGTGGCTTCCATCTTGGGTCAAAGGCAGATACTTCTGTTGTAGCCATAGCCCAGCCAGCAGGGGTGGAGAGAGTTCAGAAAAGCCATTTGTCACTTAGGAGGCGGACTGGACTTAGACACAGAGCCACACCTAGGAGAAAGAAGGCTAAGGTATCTCTCCTTTGATGACATCATGCTCAGCTAAAGCTCAGAGTGCTCAATTCTTAGGAAAGAAAATAATCAGAGAATGGATATGGGTGAGGGGTGACAATTGTCACTCTCAGTCACCAAAACCAAGCTTCTTGAGCTATCTGCACTCCACTTCATTACCTCAATCCACTCTTTTATTAAAAGAAAACAAAACATACTTATTCAGAAGTATATATAGGGGCGCCTAGGTGGCTTGATTGGTTAAGCGTCCGACTTGGGCTCAGGTCATGATCTCACGGTCCGTGAGTTCAAGCCCCGCATCAGGCTCTGTGCTGACAGCTCAGAGCCTGGAGCCTGTTTCAGATTCTGTGTCTCCCTCTCTCTCTGCCCCTCCCCTGTTCATGCTCTGTCTCTCTCTGTCTCAAAAATAAATAAACATTAAAAAAAAATTTTTTTAAACAAATAAATAAAAAGAAGTATATATAGAGAGAAGTACATGCAACTTACATGTAATGTTAATAAATAAATATAAAGCAAACATCTATGTAACTGCCATTAGGTCAAGAGACAGAGAACATTGTTCCCCTAGAATCCCCTAATACCTTCTACCCTACTCCTTGGAGTAATTTGCTTTCTTGACTTTTACAATAATAATTACATTGTAATTTTACCACCTAGGTATAGATCTTAAACACTATAGTTTTGCCTTTTTGAACTTTTTTTAAGTGTTCCATGTTTTCTTGTACTGAAAGTTACGTATACAGTTTTGTCATTTTCCTGCTCAAAATTCTTTGCTTCCCATTATACGTGGAATAAAACTTAAAAGTGCACCTGTTCCTCTTTCCCTCTCCAGCTTCACCTTTATCCACTCTGTTCCAAGAAAAACTTGCTCTCTTTCATTTTCCCAAACCCACCAAGCCCTTTTCTGTCTCACAGCTTTTGCTGGAAATACTGTTCTCCCCATTTTCTATCTGACCAACTCTTACTCATCCTTCAGTCCTCAGATTTTAGGTCATTTCTTCAAAGAGGCCTGCCGTCAACATCCAGTCTCAGTGAAATTTTTTTGTTGTGTTCTCTCTTAGAACTCTGCAGGGTTTTCTTCATTGAACTTGTGTATTTATACATATGACTATCTTAATATCTCTCTCCCATAAGCTAGTAGCCTCCATGAATATAGACTGTGTCTGTTTAATTCATCACTTTATTTGCAAAACCCAGCACGGTTCTGGACACATAATAGAGACATGACATATATTTGTTGAAGGAGTGAATAAATGTTACAATCATTCTTTTAAGTACCTTTCCTCCTAAGAGGCCTATAATTATTTTGAGGGCCAGGATTAATGGTGAATCAAGTTGAATCAAATTGAATTAAATTAAACTGATTTGAGAGGCAGGTTAGGATAAAATTCCATTGGAAATTTTTTTTTTTGTAACTCAGAATACCTCAAGAAAAAAATGTCTTATAAAAGGAACTCTTGGGGCGCCTGGGTGGCTCAGTCGGTTAAGCGGCCAACTTCGGCTCAGGTCATGATCTCACAGTCTGTGAGTTCGAGCCCCGTGTTGGGCTCTGTGCTGACAGCTCAGAGCCTGGAGCCTGTTTCAGATTCTGTGTCTCCCTCTCTCTGACCCTCCCCTGTTCATGCTGTCTCTCCCTGTCTCAAAAATAAATAAAATGTTAAAAAAATTTTAAAAATAAAATAAAAGGAACTCTTTATTATTTTAATGAAAAATAACCTTCAAAGGAAACAAAACACACAGCGTTTTATAAATTAAAAACGGTTATACAGACTCAGTCATACAAATTAAGTGTTGCATAACAAAACTTGAAATATTCTTATAACTTTAAATCCCAAAGAAAAAAAAGTCCTTAAAAACAAAGCAGGACAAAATTCTGTGAAACCAGCATAGAGCTGATAAATTTATTTTATAAATGAGTTCCTTCTGTGTTCTATCATCTTGCTTCATTACCAAGTTTGAGCTGTTAACACTGCTCATCTTTTCAGAATTCTGCTGTCATGTCTTCTGTGAAAAGACCATCATACCTGTGCTCCTGGCATTTCCCAATATTTGTATATCTCTATCAAAGTAAAAACTGTTTCATCTTACATTTCAGTGTATCTTATGTATTCTTTTATTTAGTGCGTTTTGACGATCTCTGAATAGCTGCTTTTCTCTTTCCTAAACTCATAATATAGTACTACAGATGAATAATTTTTTTTCTTGAATCTTTGCTCACCAACTGCTCACTAAACTCATTCACTTTAGCATTTTCTGTTTTCCCTTGTCTGTTTCCATGGAGAAGTATGTCAGTGAT